ACCAAACCTTTCAATTTTTTGCAGAATTTACCCAAACTTTTAATTTGTACCACCGTGAGTACCAAACCTTCAAAAAATTCGTAGCTCAAGTCCGAATGGATGCAAACCGTTACTTTGACTGTTAGTTGACTCCAAAAAATTATTTTGATCAAATCAACAAATGGCAAAATGATAATTTCACAATTTTAACATAAAAAAATAAAAATGAAAAAGTTAACACTATTCATTTTTACCCCCACCCCAAAAACATGAAAAATCTAATGGCTATGTCCTACGATATCGAATACAGAAGCAACAAAAGCCCCATAGGTATCTCATAGCCGAGTGCGACAAGTATTTGTGGATGATGCCAGTAAATGACTAGTGAATGAGTAGTCGGAATCACTCCAGAAAACCCCATGGAGAGGAAGAGGGTTGCCCTAGAACCCTGAAAATGACAACTGGAGAGAGTGGTGCAAGGAAGGTGATAACAGCAAGAATTTGCGCCGAATTGGAATTGGAGTTGGAGTTGGCAAGAAATGACTCAATTAGTGGAATTGGAGTTACCCTTGGACTGTGGTAGAGGTGGGTTAGGTGGTGAAAAGCAGTTTTGGGTTGGCTGGGGGGTGGGGTGGGGTGGGGTGAGGTGGAAGAAGATGAATAATGTTAACTTTTTTATTTTTCTTTTTTTATGTTAAAATAAAGAAGTTACCATTTTGTTCTTTGTTGATTTGGTTAAAATAATTTTTTGGAGTCAACTAATAGTCAAAATAACGGTTTTCATCCATTCGGACTTGAGCTGCGAATTTTTTGAAGGTTTGGTACTCACAGTAATACAAATTAAAGGTTTGTGTAAAGTTTGCAAAAAACTAAAAGGTTTGGTATCATGGCTGCAATTTTCCCTTAAAATTCATTTTGTTTACACATAAATAAAAAAAAAATCTTTTTTACCCATGCATTCTTAAAAAAAAAACAATATTCTAAAAATCATAATCTCAAATAATGGAGATCAAAAGGAGAGTAAAATTATGGGTAAATAGCACAGAATATTCATACATTTCAATGTCATTGTGCAAAATGTCCATATCTTTTCATTTTTTGTCATTTTCACACCTACTTTCCACCTTTCATTGCGCAAAAGGTCCTTGCCAATCATTTTTTCAATAAAAGACGATGTTAACCTCTTATTCATATAAAAAAAAAGATGAATAACCAACTGCAACTATAATCCTTAAGTTTTTAAAAAATTACAAATAAATCATAAATTCTCCATCACCATCACTTTCACAACTTACCAAGCTATTACCTATAGATCCACATAGCATCACCTTTCGACCACCACACCCATCGGACTCCACCACCACCAACCTCGCTTCACTCCCCCTCCCCCCGCACAAATTTGAAGATTGGGGCAGTTAGGACCCACCAAATTTGGTCGACAACTCTCTCCATGCATCGCACCCGTGGAAAGTTTTGGACTAGAAATTGAAACGGTTGGGGGGTAATTGGTTCAATTAGATTCATACCCATTGTCGTTTGCATTTGTTGATGGTTCGATTAATGCCAATTTGGGAATTAAGTGTAGTGAAATGCATGAATTAAAGGAGAAGAGTTTGGCAAAATGGACGTTATCACTGTTGAATGTCTAGATTACAGTAGAATGATTTGAGGCAGGTTTGATTGATTTGATGCCATGTATAGGTTCGTCGAGGTGAGGGTTAACCATCGGAAGTGGTGTGCAACCATGGGTGGTGCCGAAAGTGGGGTTGCCGTGAAGGGTTGTATACGGCAGTTTGGTATTTTAGGCTGCAAATGTGACTGTTTTCGGACCAATACTGTGAGAGGGGATGTTGGGAAGAGTGAAATGAGGCTAGTGGTGGTGGAGTCCAACGGGCGTGGTCGCCAAAAGGTGGTGCTATTTGGATTTATAGATGGCAACTTGGTGGGGTTGTGAAAGTCGTGCTAGTGGAGAATTTTGGACTTATCTGTAATATTTTGAAAAATTTAGGACTATGATTGCTATTAATTGTTTATTTTTTCTTTTCTTTTCNGAAAGTCGTGCTAGTGGAGAATTTTGGACTTATCTGTAATATGTTGAAAAATTTAGGACTATGATTACAATTAGTTGTTTATTCTTCTTTTATTTTTGTTTCATTCGAATAGAAGGTTAAAATCATCATTTTATTGGAAAAATAGTTGAAAATGACTTTTTGCGCAATGAAGGAAGATAGGGATGAAAATGCCAAAAAATGAAAGGATGGAAAGTTTTGCACAATAACATTGAAAGGTAGGGACGTTCGGTACTATTTACCCTTAAAAGTGTCAGTCCTAACCCACTACATGTTTATTGGAATTTCTAGGAGCCTAACTTTCCTCACTGAAATTAATGTTGATTACACAACATAACATTCCACAATTAAGTCAAGCCTGCCTATTAGTAGACTAGTAGTAAT